CAATAACTGCTGTTTATGCATACATGATGCAACTCTGTAGATTGACCAGTTGTGTTTCCCTGAATTTAGTATTAGTATTAAAAWATTCGTATTTTCCAGTCCCTTTTGCCTATGTGTTTCTAGTGATGTTTGTTGGCCTTTCCTAGACAGGAGAAAATACAAGTTTTGATACCACTTGTATTGGTCTTTCAGTGAAAAGTCCAGCCCTTTTTTCTAGGATCAGGTAATCATAGAATCATAGAATGCTTTGGGTTGAAATAAACCTTATAGATCATCTATTCCAATCCCTTGCCATGGGCAGGGAMACCTTTCAGAGKAGCAGGGTGCTCAGAGCCCCATCCAACCTGGCCTTGAACACTTCCAGGGATGGGGCAGCCACARCTKCTCTGGGAACCTGTGCCAGGAACTCATCACCCTCATTGCAAATAATAGTTTCCTGATCTTAAATTTAAACCTACTTTGGGTCAGTCTGAAGCCATTGCCCCTTGTTGTGTCGCTCCAGGCCCCTAGAAATAGTCCCTCTGCATCATTCTTGTGGGCTGCTTTCAGATACTGGAAGCCTGMAATCAGTTCACCCCGAAGCTTTCCCTTCTCAAGTCTGAACAATCCCAGCTGTCCCAGCCTTTCCTCCTAGCARAGCTGCTCCATCCCTSTGATCCCCTSRRTGCCTCCTCTGGATTCTCTCCAGCAGCTCCATGTCCTTGCTGTGCTGGGAGCCCAGAGCTGGGTTCAGTTTAAGGGTTGACAAAGTCACTGGCTTTTGTCAGCCCACAGCAGGGATTCCAGCCTGTTCCTGCAGCAGGAATTCCAGCCTGTTCCTGCAGCAGGGATTCCAGCCTGTTCCTGCAGCAGGAATTCCAGCCTGTTCCTGCAGCAGGAATTCCAGCCTGTGCCAGTGCTCTGGCCAATCCTCAGGACTTCAGAGGCAGAGGAGGAGCTGCAGGCTGACGGATTCATCAGGTGATGCTGTGGTCATGCAAACTGAATGCTCTWTACAGCCATTTCATAGACTCTTGTGTGTTCACCTGAGTTGCAGGAAAAAATCTGATTATTGCCTACCAGGAACTGAGGATCAGGGGCACAACTGAACCTCAGGCAGGAACTCCTAAACCAAAGGAATATCCTTGTACCATCCTATGTCAAATATTCCAGGAACTGCACAAAGAGTGTCACTGCACAAAGCGGTGCTACAACATACACAGCCAGCAGACATCAGAGCAWGATGCAAATAATCTCTTCAGAGGCCAAAAGCTCATCTTTGAGCTGTGAAAAAGAGGCAGACTTTGCCATGCTGTTACTAGACATGTTGAGACTACTTGTCTCTGATGTGACAAAAGGCTCAGGCATCTGTGACAATGTGACTCAGTGGCACAACTGCCATCAAAGCTGCCAAYGTGACCCAAGGCACTGGGTCAGTCTGTGGCACGTCTTCCTTTACCTGTTGACCACAGATTTGTGCATTTGTGTGGGCAGAAAGAACTGTACTGACCTCGACTTGATGGAAAAGCTGATTTCCAGGCAAGGGGCAGGTTGTACTCATCCTGTGAGCACAGTGACATCTGGAAACTGGCCTGCCTGTTTCACAGCACCCTTTTATCCTTTTATTCTTTCAATATTGCCTTGTTATCTCTGCACCAGCCTTCTTTACAAGASGGTCTACCAGTGTGATGCAGCTCCGTGACAATGCCAGAAATTATTTTAATTGCCACTAAGTGGGAGAAAGTGCTACACTATAAAGGCACCTTTATGTCACAGCTGATGAGCTGTGGGCTYCCTCACATCACAGGCTGGGCACTCTGGTAGAACTGGTGAAGTACAGCATGGAAAACTGGGTGGTAAAGTGGGCGGAAAATTGGCTGTTCTGCTGGGCTCGAGGTTGTGGGAGTGCTGCAGAGTCCAGCTGGCAGGCTGTAGCTGGTCGAGTTCCTCAGAGATGAAACTTCTGCAGAATTTCCACAGGTCTGCCCACATTCTGCCCTGTGCTTCCTGTGCTCACTGGCACCTCAGCAAAATGAAAGCAAATCCCTCCTTGCTGGTAGTCCCTTGGCTGCTCCATTTCTGCACTCTGGTTTTTAGAAGTGTTGTTACAAACTCTGGAGGGCAGGATGCTGCCTCTTGGGGTCTGCAGGCTCGTTCCAGTGGCTCKTAGGGCTGGGGCTGGCACTCAGCTCCCCTCTCTGCGGGTAGAGCAGYCCTCCTTTGTCATGATGGCACTCAGACGGCGCTGAGCACGGGGCAGAGCTGTTAAACTCTTCACCTTGACCAGAGGTGGTTTTACTTGGGGCAGGACAGGGCCTGCCAGCAGCTGAATTTTTGTGGGGGCCAGCAGAGTGTGTCTGAGCTGTGGCTTTGTGCTGTGGCAGCAGCAGCACACGTGTCAATAGTCAGGCCTGGGGAAGCTGCTGCACCTGCACCACAGCCTGTGCAGGAAATCCCCGCTGCCTGAGGGCTACAAGGGCTGCCCTCCKCAGGGTTCGGTTCATACTGACTGGCTTTGCATCTTCTGTAACTGCAGGGAACTGGCTTCAAGAAAGAGAAATGCAAATTGCAAATGTTTTAGTCCTCCTGAGTTGTAGAGGAAGGGTTCTAAACATGAGAAGGGACGTGACACTACTGAGCAAGTGAYGGAGAGGAGCAAAACCTCTACTGCTTTCTTCTCTTCCCGATCTCTGGGACATTTTACAGGTTACTCAAAAGTAGCCCAGATCTCCACCAGTCATTTTTCCAAGAGTTCCTAGAAACACCTTTTATTCAGATTACCCAGCACTRAAACCAGTTGGAGAAATACTTCTGCTATTACAAACATGATCATGAACAATGTGATTAACAAGACTAGTGAGAGACAAAATAAAGTTGGGTCTGCTTCTTGTAGGAAACACATTGTTTTCTTAGTGGCACAAAATTTCCTCTTTTTTTTTTTTTTTTTTTTTTTAGAACAGTGTGAGAGAGCAGAAATGTCTCAGTTTGACATCTAATCTGCTCTGCCTTTGCAGGAAGTTAGAAAAGTCTCGAACAAGCATTCTGTTGATATATTTTTCTAAATAAGAAGCCCTTTGGACAAAGCCTTAGTGATTAGAGAGTGCAGTGGTTACAGCTCATGTCAGCTAGTTAACCTTCATTCCCAGCTAGTTAACCTTACACYTCTATCCCCTTGCCATCAGCCCAGAGTTTAACTCCTGTAAAGCAAAGCTGCTGTTGGGTGTTTTGCTCAGTTGAAAGCTTTGCCTGTCTCACTCCAAAYAGCTACAGAGGCCTGTTTTCATTTGCAAACCTGTGCAAGTTAACATTTCTCAGAGTATTTATGTCAGGGCACAGCTCTGCTCTCTGGTTGTTAGTTCTTGACCCAGCTAACTTGTAACTGTTTCTGACAGTCACAATCATATTTAAGCTCACCTYGACATATTTTTACAGCTTCAGCAGTGTTACAGATGTCTGGGTAGAACCTGAACACTAAGTACCTCTGCCACAAAAGCCAAAAGATAATCCCCTTTTGAGAGGAATTCAGGCTGAATTTAGTCCTTCTCTAGAATGAGGAGATGATAGAAGCCAATCCAAATCCATTATTTCAGAAGTCATATTCAGTAATGTCAGTACTGCATGTCATGACACACTGCTGGTTAGAAAAGAAACAAATACAGTGCTTGATACAAGCTCTCACATCCTTCATCCCACCAAGGGTTCTGCAACCCCACCATCACTATGGGGTCATTGCTGCAAAATGATGACATTTGTTGCTGGTATGAAAACTCATTTAAAACCAGAAACAAATTGTAGTAGCTCTCTTTCTGGTTTATTTTTCCAAACAGAGTTTATTTACTGCAAATCTTTGAAACCTGATGTTTAATGCAGTTTTCTAAAATTGCAATTTTTATACTGCAGTCTTCAAAGCAGATCTGTGTATTAGGAATCTGACCGCAGCAGTCATTTAATAAGTCATGAAAAGTACAGGAAACACTTACATTGGGGAAAAGTAAAAGAAAGGGAGAAAAGTTTTCCATTTGTTTATAGCTTCTTCAGAAATACTGTTTTTGGGGCAGAACTTTCCATGCTTCATCTCTTCTGAAGGTGATTTTCTTTCAAATTGTCAGCAACATGTGGAAACTTCTTAACATAAATGCAAAATGCCTTAAATTATGAAAATTGTGTGACTAATGAGTGAGCAAAAAGTCCCTCTATTGATTTGATACACAGATTATTATGCATGCTAAAAATGCTCAGTGGAGTTGCTATTTACTGTTACTCTCTTGGAAGAGAGCAGTCTTTGAAATGTAATGACCACATTAAAAATCAAGTAGTTTTTAAAGGGCTTAAACACATTATTCTGTTTATTATTGAAGGAAGTATTCTAAAGACAGGCAGTTAAAAGGGTATTCCAGTGTGAAATATACTGGGAGAAGACAATAAAATCTCGTATGAAAGACAATCATGCACAATAACCATGTTAGCTTCTGAATTTTGTACACAAAGAAATACTCTAATAACAAACCTCACACCACACACAAAAGGCAACATCTTCACAAAAAGTTATCAGAAAAGCATAGCATTTGATCCTGATTATTTTTTTCTCTGAGCTTGCATTCTCTGCGTAATGCTTGGGACAATTGAGAACAGGTGTGAAAATAACCATAAAAAAATTGCCACTGCAAAAGCCATTCGGATGGCTCTGTTCTTCCACAAGAAAAGGAACGCAGAGAACTGAATTCACATTCACCTTTYAGTTCTCTCATGCCTCCAGGGAAAAGTACAGGAAATTATGGGCTACTTTAGAGCTCATTTTGGAGAAAAGTGGTGTGAAACAGCTTTAGTATTAATGAGAAATGGCTTAGTACTTTTCAAAGTAGGGTATGACTGTATCCGCTTTTTTATTATGACGATATATCAAAGAAAATACATTCTGTACACAAATCAGCAAAACACAGATGGAAATAGAGACAATGTGATTTATCCATATATTTTTAAAATAAATATGTACAGTATTTACATTTTGAACTGTCCCAGAAATGAACATCTCCAGATTATGAACCTAAAAAATTCTCTATTGTTACAGAAAATGCATTTGCTGTACAAATATTTATAAATACTTTTGTATAAACTTTTTTTTTTTTTAAATATCTGTGGATTCATTGAAAAGAAAAAGGTGAGAAATTCCTATTATCAACTAGCATTTCGCTATCAAGTGTCCACGTATTAAACAGTTTAAAGCATCATGGATCAGATAAAAGTAGATTTTCAGTGTTGACAATATTCTGTGTTCTGCTTCCATGCTGTTGCACTGACGAATGTGATTGTCTTTTCTGAAAATCTGCAGAAAAGCAGCAGGACCGAATCAGTTTGACTCACTGATTGTTATTGACTGCACCATGTCAGACAGGGCTTCTGGGTCTGCTTCTTCTTTACCATTATCTGAATTTTCTGATGAGATGTAACAGCCGGAATCTCTTGGACAGTCATTTAACTGTGATTTGTCAAAGCTCTGGTGAGAGCTTAAGTTCTGAGTCTCCTGACCTCCCTCACTGTTCTGCTGTTGTTCAACTAGAAGAGGAAAAAAAAGAAAGAAAAACTTGTCAAAATAAGTACCTTGGGAAAGAGTTGAGACAGCAGCATGACTGATCTTGAAGAACTTCGGAAAYAGAGCTGGTGATCTACACGACTAAATATATTTTTTCCATCAGAAACAGAAACCTCAGTGTGAGAGAATTAAAAAGATGATTACTTAAGCGTAACAAGTTAATGCTGAGGTTGATCTTTTTCCTTCTGGATGTTTCTCAGGTGCCATTCMCAGCAGGGATGGCGCCATTCCTCCTCCTGTGCTCGTGTATCCCTGGATGAATCCCTGTTTATAACWCATTGCTCTGCAGGTTTGTGACTTTGGAGAGCAGCCTCCAGCCCCTGAGGTGCTCTGTGCAGGGAGAGAGAACGTGCTGGCCCTCAGAAGTGTTTGGCACGAGGATGTGGTAACCAGCTTTTCTAAAGCTCTGAGAGCTTTTCAGCACGAGTGGGTGGCTGATGGAAACTTCCTAAGCTTAGCTTGATATCCAAAAGGTTATTTTCCAAAACACAGAGACCTCACAGGAAGCTAAGATGCCTCACTTCTGCTGCATGGTTTTTGAACACTCTTACAAGACTGAGTAGAAGCAAATTATCTTGCAAATAATTTGTCCTTGTTTAGCTACTGTATGACTAATCTATTCAAATGAAAAAATCTGCAACTTGTAAGAGTATCAACAGACCTCTCAAGAAAAGCTCAAGGAAACGTGTCATGTGTTTTCGTGACTTTTCGTGTTTACTTGTATTTCATGACTCTAACACGTACTGGTTTTAAATATCCTGTTCATGTTTTCTGGCTGTGAAGTACATGTTTACTCGCAGTAAATAAATACTTTAAGAAAATAAACTGTAAAATATAAATCTTTCCCTTTGCTACTTTTTTTCTTGTGCTGTTATCARCCTCCTGTAGCCATAGTTTTACTTCAAACTGTGTTTGGCTTTCTGAATAAAGCAAACTGAACACATTTCAGAAGAAACAGATGGTTTTACTCCATGTTTTCAGTCCTTCAGAAAAATAGTACCTTTTTGCTTTTATRAAGAAATTTCCCTTCTTTCACTTGATTTGTTACTCCATGGTTAAATAGTTCACTTTGGATCTTTAGTCATATTTAAGCTGTCTCAATACAAGTTCAGGCAGAAGGGCAGTCCTAAGATATGAAGGATTTAATGCTGTGTCAAAATCTAAATCTATTTTAGTTCCTAGAATTTTAAATCTCCACAAAGAAAATTCATACCGACTTTTCTTTCAATTGTTGGAAATCGTAACATTTAGTAAAATGGGAAAGATTTTAAATTTGATTTTTTCTATATTGTATTGAATAACAAAGAATAAATTAGAAATGAAAAACTGAAATGTTTCACCCTTTTAGAGCAAAATGGAACAGCGGGAGAGTTTCTTCTGAGACCTTTTTCATTGTGTGAGATTTCAACAAGCTTATTTCACAAAGCATTTTGATAYATGGAGAAATATTTTGAGGTCTTGATGGAAGTCTTGTAGATTTGTTTGGCCTGATTAAATCTGTTTAATATTTTCTAACTTCCAGTTGCCTAAAAAAATTGGAAAAACAAATCTGATTTTTAAAGAAAATAATCCAAAGTCTCAACTTAGTTATTTTTTGAATAAAGTCTAAGGGTGTAGGCATAACCAGATGTATTTAGAAGAATAATAAAAGTAATTACTTTAAATATTTTGCAAGGAATAAGAATTCCACCTTGTTCCCAAATAAATTAACAGTTAATTGCACTTGCGTGAAGGAGTACACGTTGCAGCAGATTTAATTGATATCTGTAACTGTTTGATCTCCTTCTCACTTTACAGAACACAGTTTGTCATGTCAAATGTTATCTCTCTCTTTGCAGGGAAAATATTTGATCATGTAGGCTCCAATTGATTTCTGATTGRAGTCAGGAAGGAATTACAAAGGCATCACCCCGGTAAAGGTATTCCCGCTCTCTCAGCAGCCACAGAAGCATTCAGCACAAACACCAGCGATGCCCCAGTAAAACCTGATCCCGAGTGAGTCTGTAGCTGCCCCCAGCACCATCCCATCCCATCCCATCCCACCCCACCAGGGCAGAGGGAACCCGGGCTGTGCAGCACCAGGACCGTCCCCCCTAATCCCCTCGGCCGCCTAAAGCCGCTCGCTGCCTTTTCATCTGCTCCAGCATCATCTGCTGCCCTGGCAAGCTCTGACCTAAAAAGTGTTAATCCTGTTTACATTTTCAAGGTCAGAGGGGAGCCTCCCTCCACTTTGTTTGTTTTACAATGGCAAGAAGACTGAGTAACCAGTGGATTAAATGGAAAATGCAGTCTCAGTCACTGTATTAGTGCCTTGTAACTAGTTGTCTACATAATCTGAGTGATGCCTGGGTGAACAACAGATCCTAATTTTTTTTTTAATCAATATCTCCCTAGTGTGTTTCAGAAAAAAATTCACAGAAATCCTGGAACTGAGAATTCTTTTTTTTTTTTTTTAAGCTGAATTTAGGTCAGTTAGGAAAATAAGTAAAAGACATACAAATGTATAAAACTTCCTGTAACACTAGTTGGGTTTTCTTACATGAAAAACTGAAAASTGGAAGTATTCAGGTGTTTGAGACAGTAAAAATGTTATATTTTCTGGTTTTCATTCTAAGCAGAAAAAGTTGGAAGAACACCCCTCCCCATCCATTTTTAAGAAGAAAAGACTAAAAGCAAACTTTGATGCCTTTTTTTTCTCTTTAAAGCAACCTTAAATATTATGCAGTAACTACTAAACTGTTTGAACAGGATACTGAGTATTATAAATATACATAGCATGCAATTTTAGAAGTTGTTTTGTGAGAAAAGCAAAGCAATTTTTGCTCTTTTTCTTTCCTTTTCTTTTCTTTTTTTTCTTTTTTAAGCTCTTGGCTCTTCTACTCAGTTTCCTGAAGTAATTTCTCTACATGGTCAAGTTCCACATTAAGAAAGGTGGGTTTGCTGCCTTAATCTTTTGGACATCAGAAGAAAGCTACRCTGCACAGAAAACAGGAATTGATAAAATTAAACTGCCGTTAGATGTTGCGGAATCATCAGAAATAACTATCTTATCAACAAATGGAAGTCCTATCATTTTTCTACAGTAAAGCAGTTTCACATAAGATAAATGGCTCTCAGTCACTGTTGTCTATGATATGGCCAGAAGAGCCCAAGATATGCATCATTTTGACACATATATTCCAGTACTCCTTTGGACGGTAGGATTATATTCAGACTTCTGAAAAAAAAGGGAGCCCTTTAGCCTTGGTAAGAGATGTGTGATGCATCTCTTATCTTCCTCCTCACTGTTTAGAYCTTTAAAATGAGTTTTTGTTATTCAATGACTTAGATGTGCAGGACACGTGCAGGGATAGATTTCTTTTTTCCTTCACCAGCGCTTTTCCCCTTTGTAATGAGGTTAAAGTCCTGATTAGGGAAGCATTTTAAGCTTGGGTTTAGGGGAAATTCAGCTCAAGACTGCACAGAGGTCACACTGACTCTTGTGAGTTTATGTCAGTTTAAACCTGATGAGTGGCAGGAGGCTTGGATTTTGTCTTGGACCAAAAGAAGGAAAACTTCTTGTGTTGTTGTTTCTGGCCACTGGTCCTTGCCCTGTCACTGGCCCCACTGAACAAAGCGAGTCCTGGAGGATGAAACCAGACCTCCTACGTGTGTACACAGCCCMTGTATCACAGACCATCTAAGTGTGAAAAGGAAAGGGGATCTCACAAATATCAAACTTAGAAAGGATCATTTTGAAGCAGTAAAGGGAGGCAATTCTCAAGACGCAGAGAAACCTGAAGTGGTTTGTGCAATACTTTGGGTAYTCAAAAGACAAAATATTTTGCAGATATTTACAAATATACAGTAGTGCACTCACTGAAATCAGTGGCATAGCTTTTGTGAGAGAGAAGTTATTGAATAGATGTGAGAACTTGGGGTGAAAAAAAGAAATGTGAAGCTTCTTTTTTTTTATCTAAAATCTGGAAGCAAACAGATGTGCCTGGAAAAAAAAAGTTGAAAAATGCTAATAGTCATGCAAAGATGAGCTTCCTTGGGAAATCTGGCAATATTATGTCCAGGCCAATGAGTTGTAGCACAGTGCAGAAGGGGAGRTTGTCTTTGAGCACTGTTTGACCTTGACAGGATACTGTGTGATCCCATGTACGTAAAGGGACTGCCCAGTGTGAAATGGCACTTGTGGAGCTCGATTCTTGTGTTAGGAATGTGACTGAGAACTGGAAGTTGTGTCCTTATTTCCTGTCTTGTTGTCCGAGTGCAATACATAAAGAACAAACCTTATCTGGTATTGGTAGTGGAATTTACAGTATAATCTGCCCTGAAATATGAAGAGTAAACTGAGGAAATGGATTTGGGGAGATAAGTGTAAAATATTATCCCCAAAATTGCACATATTCACCTTTTGGGGCTTTTTTTTCCCATAAAATGAACTGTGTACACATATCTAATGGAAGTCTAATTCTTCTTTAACTCAGAATAGCTTTGGACTAGTGTAACCCACTGGACTTCAGGGATGAACCTCTTGATTTAAATCATCTAAGTGAGGAGACAATCAAGCCTATTTCGCACACACAAAAACGTGTGTCCTGGGAAACGGTCAAGAGAAAAGTTCCAAATTTCTTTTATTACTTTATTCATTAACCATCCAGCAACTGCCTCACTTTAAAAATAGCATCCTACAAAAGCACAGACATCCATCTCCTGTCTAGAAGCCATCTGGGAGAAGAATAGAAAGCTATTWAGAAATACTTTATGAAAAAGACTTTTTTTTTCCCACAGCCATGAATTCATGGAAACCAAGAATTTTGCCCAAATACATAGGTCTGATCAACTCATAGAAAATCTAAAAKGATATCTGAGATCTGGGGGAAGGTCATGAGGTGCTTAAAAGTCCTTGCAGTTGTAGGATAGCCCTTCGTTGTGAAATACTTGAAGATGATGAATTTAGGTCTGGACTCCCAGGAAAGGTAGAAAGAAGATAGAGCAGTACTAGGAAAAAAATCTGCTTAAAAAAACACTATGTGGTAGCATTTTCTAAATAAAACTTACTTTTTAATTCATGGTATAAGATGGGTAAAATTTTTCCTTTCAAATTCATTCAGGTCTAAATAGAATGTAAGATTAAAACAATGTCACTGCCAGAAATCCTATATTTTGTATGGCTTTAGGAAGCATTAATGTGGAAACTACTGCTGCAGTTAGAAAACTGAATAAATGTCTTTTCTGCAAAATTAATTATACACCACAAGTACATGTTATGAAGAAATTACTTAGTATAACATACAATAAATGTGAAGAAAAAGCCAAKGAATGAAAAAGAAATTAAAAGCCCTGTAAAAACCTCTGGACATCTCACAAGATCAGATTTCACATTAAAGAAATATGAAATCTTGGTTTTACTACCAAGGATGTTCTACTACTAGGAGGATCTAGTAAAATGAGGCTGTGTTCCAGCACATTTGTCTGTTTTGAATAATATAATTTACAAAAACTCAGAAACCCTTGTATTTCAACTCTGGGCTACACCTGACCCTTCATCCATTAATCAAACATGTACTTCATGGAAACATGAATGGAATGAAGACATGGAAGTCTTCTCAGCTCTGTGAGAAAGATGGGTTTGGAACAGTAAATGCAGTCTATGGCCTTAGCTTACTTTTTTTCATAAAGCTTATTAAAAAAGTGAACTTTTTACCTGCCGAAATTCTATCTAGAATACCCTCGGCCTGTAAACAGATTACTTTGTAGCTGTGGGTAATTATGCAGCTCACTTCTAAGCAATGCACAAAATCAATTTTAATTAAAAAATCATTTATGCTGTACTGAGCCATGCCCATTTAGGAAAAAAAAATATTGACCCAGGAAAGTTCAGTCCTGATGCAGAATTCACTTTCACAGTAGCACCCAGCTCTTTCAACCCAATTTTCCAATGTGACTGACAGAAGGACAAAGAGGTCAAATGATTCCTATAACGTCAAACTCATGCTGAGCTTATCCCCAAGATCATCTTGACGCCTTGTCTTTTGTTATAACAACTTAACAGATAGCTTCTATCCATTTTAGTCTYTAGGATCCTCCTTTTTAGCACAGGTTGTTCAATCCTGTCCTTACCAGTCACGTGACAAACGCTCTGATCCTTTCGCAACCAGACAAGRCAAGGATTTGATTCAGCCCTGATGCAAGATTCAAACTAGGACAGTATTTATTCATGGCTTACCTTAAAATATACATAAGTCTTACGAAACTCAGCTAGACTTAAAGGAATGCTTGCAGCTGGCATGGCATTTAAAGATGTTGTGGTTCTGGTCTCCTGAGAATTCATTAATTCTGGGAAAATTATTTGACTGAATTTGAATACTGGAAAGATTYGTTCTACCTATCTAAAGTGCATGTGAAACAAATACTCATTTCACCTCTTGAAATAAGACTACAGTGTCATCACTGATTTTGAAGCATAGACCACTTTATAAGATTTAATGTTATTATTCCCAGAACTGTTACAAGACTTTGAACTATKGGATTACCATGCAGATAACATCATGGGCACTGTTTTGCCTGGAGAAGTTACTTAATCTTATGTTGCCAGTATGGGAAAAACCCAATGTGGATTATAAAGGTAAATTTATTAATTTTCAGTGTATGGGACATGTAAGAACCTTGTTAGGTTTGGTCCTTGCAGAGGACTATGTAGAATATTAAGTGTTAAGACGCCTTCAGAAAAGAGGTTCAGTATTGAAAGCTGCTTGCTCTGCTTTTTTAACTCCATGAACATAAACAGCAAACCATATTCTCACCACTACAGAATAGTTTGGTTCTCCTGTGGTCTGTTAGAAACTGTTATGTGTCGGTTTGGCTTTCACACTGATGCGAAGCTGCAAAATTACAGTCTAACATTTTTCTTTATGATTTTTCTGGTGTTAAATATTAAAAAACATTCACAATAAAAGGTGCAGAAAGCACAACAAAGCTGGTTCCCACAAAGAATACACCATGCTCAGTATATGTGACACATATACATAATTTTCAGATGATTTCCAGGTAGATCTCTGCAACAGAATTCCTGAAAAAMCCCTTTTTCTTCAAGAAKTCACTCTTTCAATTGTTTTTTCTACATAGACAGCCCTTCAAGAGTTCTTTTCAAACCTGTCATCTTGCAAAGCTACAGACCAGAAAGAACTTCTGAACCTGGAGGGCAAAGAAAACATTTCTAACGCCACTCCAACATGTTTGCAAGAGCCTTACCTTTCCCTGGAAGCTGAATAAGAGCAGAACAACTGAATGTACAAATGGGCTTCCAAAAAAAGCCCAAACATTCAGCAAGAAAATTGAAGGCTGCCTACCTACYGAGGAGATAATAACTGGATGTGTGACAAAAATTGATATTAAAATTTCCCAGGAATACATTTTTCCTTCTCTCCCTTTCCTATGCTTCTCAGTTGCAAGTGCACATTTGATGATACAACTGTTCAGCATAGGGGGGAATATGCACAAACATTAATGAAGACAAAAACATCTCCTGTTTTGAGTGCCTAATTAAATAGATGCTCAGCTGTAGTTTCTACAAAGTTGACATAAATTATTCAAAACCTGAAAAGTCAGACTGGAAACACCATTCAAATATCAGAAGAAAAGGTTTTTCTGTTCCATATCCTAGTTTTTCCACTCCCAATGAAAGGAAACAAGTGAAAAAAATATAATGGTGAGCAAGACATGTGCATATACACACCCCATGTGTACACCTCTTGGAAACTCACCTGAAACACAAGTTAGATTAATTTTGACAGAAGAAAGCAGACCAGCTATTAGTGGGTTTTTGGTTGACTTTTTTTTTTTTTTTTTTTTAATAATACCTTCCCACAAGAAAAAGCTAATTTGGATAAGGATTTAAGTGTGAGATGAAGTTAGGGAAGAACAAATCTGTAATTACTTGTAGAATGTTGTTTAAAAAAATTAAAGAAAATTCTTTGCTGGAGCTGTTTGGAATAAGCTCTGTTTTGGTTAAGAGACTAAGGCATATGACTCTTAACAAATCTCACTTACTGTCACATTCCTGGAGATTTTCAATTGCTGATAACAATCTTGCCCTGTCTTCTGGGTTTGAAATATTTAATTCGATCAGGTGGCTGTCCTGTAGATCCTTTAAGTCCTCTAGAGTTTCATAGCCATTTAGCAAGAGGGTTGAGGCATATTCCTACAAAAGCAAACAAGCAAATCATCCCATGAAAACAAGCACTATATTTAGTAGAGGAATAGGCAGAATTTCACTTTTACTTTTTGGCCAGGTTGAAAAGGGCTCYATTCTCCAGTCTGACTGACTCACCTTTGGCAGAGGTGGAGAGCAAGAGGGGRCAGAGGCAGAGATGCCTGGAAGTCCTCCTGGCCATCCCAGCCTGTAGAACAGTCCAGCGGCAAACTGGACCAGGGCAGACCCTGTCAGGARTTATTTAATCTGCTGAGCGTCTGGATTTTGTGGGTCACTCCCACACTGGGCCCAGGAGGGACTCTGAGGAATGGAGTGCTCTGGCTTTGCACAGGAGGAGCCCCTCGAGACCAGCAAGGTGGAGGAGCTGAGGGAGCCCTTGGCCCTTGAGCTGTGTCAACTCAGTACAAAACTCTGTGCATGCTCCAGGGGAAGGAGTGTTTGCATCAGCAGCAAAGCAATTACCCTTATTAAAAATGTTACTTGTAAATCATGACCTCATTACACTTTGACACTCAGTCAGGATCCAGGGTTGCAGAGAGGGAGAGGCACACCATRAGCTTAGTGCAAAACCACTCTGGCTCCCTAAAGATCACGAGAAATTACAAAYACAAATTCTCAATTTTGGCACTGGACTCAGACTGCAGCCCTGTCCCTGAAGTGTCCACAGCCACACATCTCCTRTGCTCAGGGACACAATTGCAGCCAGGCTGACCTGACAAGCCACCAGTGTCCCTGTGTGAGTGGAGTCTCCCAGCCCTGCCATGTGATGCGGTAAAATGTGGTTCTGTAAGCCGCTCACATCAGATAAAAGACAGGCACGAGGTTGCTCTGCTTTGCTTTGCTGACATCAAAACTGCTGAAAGCTGCCTTTCTCCTGCCTGTRAATGACATTCAAACCCGAGTGCACAGAAAGGGAACATTTCAAACAGAGCTGGGAAATGCGTTGGCTGACCTGCAGGTGGACGCATTCCAGGAGCTCTTGCAATGTTTTAGACTTGGTCCTTTTGCTTCCTCTGTGTGGGTTTCTCTTTCTGGGTGCAGCTTCTTCCTCCAAGATAATATCCACGTAAATGAACTTGAAATTTCCTACTTTGTTGTTCAGCATGCCAGTCCATATGCCCATGGGTGTTTTGCAGATGATATCTATGATGTCTCCTTTCTAGAAAAATAAAAAAAAGCACACCACTGCTTACACTTCTGGTTTGTTATATGTAGCTTTTCCTCTGTAGACCAAAACCAGCACTAGTCAGTGTGAACTAACTTTTTTTAATTACCTAGATTTAGTGCCTTTGCTTTTATAAAATCCCAGGAAAATAACTACAGAAAATGTATCCTTATCTCCAAACCTTTGTGAAGGAGAGGTCAGCATAAGCAGCCCCTCTGACTATTTTTGTGCTCCGCTTGGTCCCTGAAAAGGGATGGGGTTGCATCACCAGTTTTGTCATGGGCAGTGGGCATAGATTTGGCAAAAAGGAAGGGATTACTGTAAGGTTATTTTTCAAATGTGTGGCAAAGCATTTACAGAATAATCTTATTACCTAGCCTCTCAAGGGTCTTCAAAAACAGATAACAGATMTATGTGAAAGGTGGGCTCCTATACATTTTATAGTAAAATACACCGGCTACATTTCTTAAAGATAATAAAGAACATTTAACTCCCTTAACAAATAGGAATGCTAAAACAGTTGACAACACAGCTACTTCAAGGGGGCTTTTTGGTAAAGGTGTTCACTGTGACACTGTGGAAACCAAGGTCTCAGCTCAGAAAAATGGTCACTCTGAGTAATTCTCATAGTAAAAAGACTCTTACAAAGTCACCCCACACAACCTGCTCCCAGGACCTCAAAAAATGAGCCCTCTCTTCTTGGCACATAGCAGAGAAAAATGTTGAAAGCCTTTGAAGGGTTATCCAACAAATGCCTACTTTATTTGGGATGCTGTTACAAAGTTAGAAATCAAACYCAGTTTGTTAAGATGTGTTCACAGCTCCAAGACTTTCACATCTTTTCTGTTCTGGTCAAGGAACAGCAAGTCAAGTGGTCACCMTAGTTTTGGTACAAATCCAAATATAAAATTGACTGTGAGCTGGTGWCCTGGTTTAATTAGAATAAAGAGCTCAGAGCAACGAGCACATTTGAAATGTAAACTAAAATATATTTGTTTGAAGCTGTATAAGCACACATGTTATTCTACACACTCATGCAGTCGCAGGAGCTTCAGATGTGGATGCAGATAAGGATAAGACAGTGGCTCTAAGCCAAGCTGCAGAGGCACTTTGAATTCAGATTCAGGGTACTAAAATTTTGTGTGACAAATATAGGGGATTTCAACCCTAAGTATTAGTTTATAATTCCAATATACCTAATGACTAAATGACTAATTAAACTAACTAAAACAGTTAAAGTGTTTTAAGAGAAATGCCCCAGACATGGGTGGAAGTGGAGAGCAAGTGGTGAAGACCGCAAGCTCTCACGTGGGCCAGAGAGGAGGAGAGGAAGTCTGTGAGAGATACAGCTGAGGATCTGGCAAAAAGGCTGTAAAGAAGAAGAAAAGAGGCTGAAGTGTGAATAGAGTCTGGATATGAAGGCTCTTCCAAAGAGGGAAGAGAAGGCCAGATTACAGACTTGAGTAAGACATGAGTACAGACATCTGAAGGGCCAGGGGGGCCCATGTTTGTTGCTCCTCTTCCTCACTCACAGCTCAGATACCCCTGCCACGTCTGGGCTGAAGAAAGTTCATAGCTCAAAGGCAGGCCTTAAGCAAAGTCTAATGAAAAGGCAAACTGTTTTTATTAAAGGCACTGGGTGCCACTGAGCGGYGGATATATCCTGGTTGTGCCTTAGCAAACTGGGGAGACAACTTCATGTTCAATGAGATTTTATCTTCTCTTACTCCAGATTATGTATGGGGAGAGCAACACGTGTTTTACTCTGAGGAAAGCTGGGGTATGTAGGTAGATACCATGAGGAGGCACCTACCTGGAATYTGTGCCTTAAAGCCTTGAGCAGCAGGTGGCTTTGTCTGAACTAAGTCCTTACAGAAGCATTGAAAAACCTGATTGGCCTTGCTGTTCGAGTGTTCCAATGCTTCAACAGTTTAAAACTCACTATTAAATGTATTTTCACAGGTAAAAAATGCCATCCACTGGCACTGTTAGTGGGAAAGAAGGAATCCTGGTGCCTGCCTTACCTTGATTTTGAGTGAGTCGGTGTCGTAAGGGCTCGGTGTGAAGTCGGTGTGGACTTTGGCTCGGCCGCAGAAGGGGCCGTTGTAGGGCACCTCGTCATCAAAGCGCAGGCTGTCCCTGTTGCTCGTGCCATCGGAGCAGCTCGTCACCCCACCTGAGAGAGAGGCAGCTTGAGACACCCTGCACCCYGTGCCCAGACATGCAGCTCTGCACACAGCCAAGAGCAGAGTGTTCAAAACCACAGAATCAGAGGCAGAGTGTGTTCTGGTGGGTTTGACACGTTCCAGGGTAACTACATTCAATAAAAATCATGCCACAAGAGACGGGAGAAAATGGGTAGGAGATCTTTCATTAATACCTTCCCTACAGTAATCTTTTTCTGGTGATGATACTAATARTCTACACATTTTGCTTACAGACTTTTTGAAATATTACCTCTGCAGATTAATAAAATGTACCCTAAAAGTGCAATTTAGGGAATTAATTCTGCTGAACCTCTCCTGTTTATTCAGAGGAATGAAAACAAGTACTGTAGAAGTTATTTTATTTCATTCCAGAGCTAGCTGAAACATCAAAAGAACCTGCATTGCAGAGGGAAATTTTAATCTTATCAACATTTCTGCCTGTCATTTTATCCAAGTTGAGCAATAAAATATCAGCAGAGTAATTCAAGCAAATTTGAGCAAGCTCTGCAATATCCCATCCAAATATGTTTTTAGATAAGAGCAGCAGTGTGTTGGAAGTAAACTCCATATACGATTTTCACAAATCACGTCATAGAAAATGATCATAAAAATGGTTTTGTTTGAGGTGATTGCTTAAGTGCCCAGCTCCATCTCAGGGCCAGATGAACTCTAAGTGCAAATTGTCTGGACTGCAGCTCCAGTCTGCACTCAGGGCTCAGGTGGYGCCTGCAGGGTGGCACAGCAGTGTCACCAGGGATAGCTGTGCCCTGACACTCAGCAAATGTCCACAGCAGAGCAACACAGAGAGAGAGAGRTGGAGGCACATTTCCCATCAGAGACTCCTCTGCCCTCTGACCCAGACTGCCCTGATGGGGGAGGGTTTTCAGTGTGTTTCAGATGGGCTGTGTCTCCCTGCATCATGGCCTGAGACGGCCAGGTCAGACTCACATTCCAGCATCTCAGAGAGACTTTGCCCCACGTCTGCAGGGCAAAGGATGAACTCACAGCCATTCYCCCAGGAAAGGATGCTTGTGTGGCTGCACCCAGTGACTGCAAACCAGCACTACAGCAATGGTAACCCCACAAAAAAAWATTATGGCATGTATGCCAGCAACATCCCATAAATTCCATCCTAATTTTTTTCTTAAGTTGGTATTTCCACTCWTAAAACCACTCAACTTATTTCTGGAGAGAACTGTATCTACCCTAGCTGCTACCCACTTAAACAAATTACACTTTTGTCTGTCAGACTGAAGAGCTCTSTACCATCCCATTTTTGATCACCAGCTCTGATTTCACAGACGTAAACAATAACTGTATTGATTCAGTCACTGGATAAGAAGCATAGGTGTCTTGTACTTACTAGATGAGCTCTGGCCACTGTTCAGGCTATAGAGACTTTCCAAAGAGTCACTGGTTTTCAGGGAGACCTTCTCAGTGTGTGTTCCACCACCAGGATCACTGTCATCTTTTCCCTCTTCATTCTTTAACACAAAAATCAAATGTTAACCCCCAAGAAATGTATTTGAGAGAAATATTTTTTGTTTGTTTCAAAGCATCATTGGAGATTAGCTCATCAGTGTACTRAATGAAAAACTACTTGGTGAGAGAAAGCATTTTAGAAATTAGTGCCTGGTACTAACCATGCCCAACAATCACCCCTAGTGTTTTATGATCTTGGAGAAATTCCCTGTCTTGTCTCTGTCCCACTCACCTCATCCCAACCCTGCTCAAACAGCTAAGCCAGGAAGACTGCAAGACAGCATGGCAGAGCTGAAAGCTTGTAACAGGAAATTCGTMGGCAATCTGATAAGATTTTGTCTGCTTGTCTCCAGAGAAGGAAATACAGAAAAGCAGGTGAATTCTGAAGAACTGGCTGGCACAGCTGTGTTTGAGACTGAACTTGTGAAGAGGGTGTTGKCTGGGTGGCAGGCTGGGGACAGCTTGCACACACGTAGGGCACTGGTGTGTTCTAGCACCGTGCTCACCACACTGCCCAGCAAACACCCTGGCCTCAAAATCCAGTGCACTTYAGAATTAACAGGTGCATGTTTCTCTCACAAAGTCTAATGGTGTATGAAATTGGCCCCTTGAGATGATACCAATAAATCACACCTCAGGAATCACAGCCTGYTCAAAACAGTAAGATCCATATTTCAGTCTCAGGTAAGTTAGAGACGATGTAACAGATAAATGAAATAGTGATGACCTTTCAAAGGGAGGGATTTTTCAGCAGAATTCACCATGTTGCCAGTGTCTGTGATATTCTGATGCAAATGAAGCTTCCTTCAGCACATTATATTTCGGTAAAAATAAGTTATTCAGCAGTTAGATGCTGAAGTGAAGCAAAGATGATGGTACATGTGCAAAGTACAAGCACAGCTCAGGCATAGCACTGAAATGAGAATTATGCTGGTTTTCAACAAGAACTGTGCTTGTTACACCAGCCAGCAGTATAACCCATAGAWTCATCAGCAGGAGGCCAGCATTGATTGCCATCATCTCCTGCAGGAATGAAGATCATGCTACATGTGTGCGTCCAACCAGATAATCCATTGAATTTCTGTCATGGGAATTGTTACTTTAAATGTGCAGAAAGYAAATATACAAATATAATATAAGGATCATGGATTACATTTTAGAAAAAAAAATAATGAGATAGAGATCCTTGTCTTCGACCTTCAAAAACTATTTCAAGGTATCCTGTGAAATACAATTTTCTACTTGTGAGAAAGTAGAAACTGATTTATTTACCTTGCTTACTTGATATTGCAGATGTAGACTGGCTAGATTTTTTAGGATTGTTAATTGTGACAATTTTTTTCCCTTATATTTTTAAAATTTGGAACATACTGACACAACTGCACTGAGAAAACAGGGTTTGCAGTATGTGGAAGATTATGTTATGTTTAATAAAGATAGTTTCACTAAGATTAGATGAGGCAAAAGGAGATAAGGCATACGAGCTGGAATTCTCTAGGATGCTGGCTGACCTTTACAAAATGGACTTCAGAAATAATTCTTGTATTGGAAGATAAATTCTTCTAATGAAGCTTTTTGTACAGAGTATCAGACTGATAGTGAGGTTCAACCAGTGCTCCCCTGTGTCCACATGAGAAGGTTTTTTGTGCTYCTACACACATGCTCATACATGATAAAAAAGCAACATTAAATGATGTAAAACTCCTATGACTCTCTTGGGCTCTTACTATGTGATTTGTGTGTACACTAAAATGCACATAAAAGAGCAGGTGCACACCAAAAGCTGGCTTAATTCAGAATATGTTGTTACCCTGGTTTTGTGGACTGTCACAACTGAGGACAGTTGAAACCTGAACAGAAAAAATGCATATTTTACTTCTCATTCATTTTCAACGAACACAAAGCTCTTTGACTGTTATTTACCATCTCCTCGGACAGTGCCTTGGTGTATTTTTTACCCATCTTTCTCCTCATGGTAAGTGAAATGGCTCTCATCTTCTTGCCCAGAGTTCCTCCATTGTTTGCTGCTTTGGTTTGTACTGCTTCCCCAATGTCACTTATAGTCTCCAGCTCACATATCTGTTTTGAAATCAAAAAGTAAGCAATAACTAGCCACGAAAATAAAATGCAGCACAGTGGAATAGGGATTACAGGGAAATATTAAGGACACTAACACAGTTAGCATGACAAAATTCAGTCACGGCCATTTTGCTTGGAAACTCCGTACCTAAACATATTTGCAACACAATACTTTTTGCAACACAATACTTGGTGTGTGAATGACAGAAGGAAGATACATTTTACGGTAAAAAATGTTGTTTATCATTATTTATTGTCCCTAATACAAATAAGAGTTGAGGCAATTTTTGCAGAGGTCTTGAAATCAGAAGTGTGACATTTGTGGTTTATTTGTAAAGTGCTGGTTACTTTGGGCATACACCAATGTGAAGTGCACTTTTTTTTTTAAACTGTTTCTAATTTTCACATCAAAGTGCCAAATTTTAGGTGTGATTCTCTTCTTCATTTTGGCAAGGCCTCAATCACTCAGATCCAGGAACATGAGAAAAGTTCTCACCAGTGTAAAATCTACACAATAACTTCCCAATATTTTTGCAATTGCTATGGGAAAGTGAACTGCAGAAATTTAAAGTTTGTGCTGTACAGACCTCAGCTGAATCATCTGCCTTTGATATTGAGTGATGCCTGAAACGGTCAAAGCTTCCAAAGCTGCTGGTGCGCTGTAAAAGAAAAGAAGACAAACCTTGAGTCACTGGTGATGTTTTGCTTTRTTCTGTTATTAAGTCTTAAATAAAACTGTCAAAGACGCCTGTTTGTGTTAAAAATCCCTCCCCTATCAGTGGACCATGAACTGCTAAATCCAGCTAGAAACAAACTAGGTGACTGTGAAAAAAAAAAAAAAATTGTGGCTGTACAGCCAGAAGCAGAAAAATGAGTAAGAGAAACAATACTGCTTCAAATACAAATCAGTTAATGGATATGATTATATGAGTCCTTCTACATCTGTTTCACATTATTTATATAATAGGTATATAAATRGCCATGCATTATTTGAAAGAAAGACCATCGTTCATGAGTTTCAAAAAAAAGGTAGTTTCATAAATATGATACAAGAAATAGACTTGGTTTTGGCGGTGCAAATTGTGGAATTTATACAATGTACTTGTGCAGCTAGGGACATTATTTATGGTTCTTTGCCATCAGGAATCAACAAGAAATGCTGAGGATTAGGAATACATCTTCTCCAAAGTGCACACAGTGGAGAGAGCATAAGTGACCGAATAATCGGGCAGGCCTTGTGCTTTTCTTCCCAACTTTCCAATTAGAAAGTCTGATTTTTAAACATAAATGGGTACAACTTTCCTCTGTGCCACAGCTTTACTTGGCATAGCAAAGCTGCATCACCTGAGCTGTGCAAAAAGACAGTGAACAGATTACTCTTACTTCCTTCTGCATTTTACTCTTTCTGCATGTGGATAAATGACTTTGAAGGAAGGGAAGTGGCACAGCAGATTTTGAGGAGCGAGATAATTCAGAAATACCTGTCAGACATGCCCAGGCTGACACTGTACTGCTCATGGTGGCAAAATGCATAAAATTGGCATTGATGACAAGTCTGGAGTCCCTTTAAGTGTGGCCCTACTAACAGCCAGAATTTGAACAATTATCCACTCTACAGTGTCTTCAAGAACATATTTTTATGTTTTATTTCACCAAGACTCCCAGCTAAATCCAGAATGATTTGGGGTTTTTTAAGTACTTCCCTCTTCCATTCCAAAATAAAGTCTTCAAAGCATTATGAGAGTTCTTGAGCAGAGCTTACTATTATATGTGATGCATTGTAATCTGTCTATTTTTGAGTATTAAAAATCCCCTCTGAAGGAAAAAAAAACCACTGAACTAAATAGCAAACCAYTGAAGTAAAAGGAAACCACAAAATAAATGCATCCTGGCTGATTTAATAAGTGATTTCAGACTATCTGGGCTACAGCTTTTCCTGTACGTATTCATCCTTTTGCCTTGCCCATGTGATTTCAGCCAAACTAGTTCCTTGTTCCATTGCTTTCTTCCCCCACCCCCAGCCACATGAGTCATCTTTTCCTCTGYCCAGGTTTCTAAAGCACCCCCTGTGCCCTCCTCACCTGGCATCTCCCGCTCCCTCCTTTTGCTGTCCATCCAGGAACTTCACAAGCCTCAAAAGGCTTGTGAGCTCCTGGCTTTCCTATTACAGCATTCAATCTTCCCCACCAAGCAAGAATTGTCATGAGGGAGCCTCAGAAGMAGCAGAGGCGCATCATCCCCTGGGCAACCAAAGAGGAGGAGCAAAGGATTGGTTTGGGAGCCAGTGCCTCTGCCTGCCTTCTCACAATTAATGCTGGCATGGACCTGCTTCCAGAGGAGTTAAGGAGAGATCCCTCCTTGATATATTTCCCTGTTTTCCATTTATTAACCAGCTCTGCCACCTCCCCCAAAAAATGAATGTGGGCATAGCAGYGGGAGCCTCAGCAGAGTCAGAGGAAAGTCTACCCATATTTTGGCTCATATTCTAAGAGTGTATCTTAAAAGAAAAATAACATACTTTTCTCTCCCCCCACCCTTATATTTCTGGCCATATCTAACCTGAAAAATATTTYGAGCCAAAGGTTATTTGAAGAAACTGACCCAGATTTGTGAATATTTTTGGACAACTAAAATGCCATTTACTATTCACTGAGGAAGGAAAAAAAAAAGAAAATACAAAAATCTCACCGCTCTTCTCTTAATTGATTGTAAAATCTCTGATGGCTAAACATTGTGGTTTATTTGTTTTATTTTACACTGTGAAATTGGAAACAACAATTTGAATGGTACACTTAATTTTATCTAAAATTCCCATAAAGAACTTTTCTATTAAGTCGATGAAGATCAACCTGTGACAAGGGGTTAGCTCAATAGTATGATATAAAAAACACAACCCTGAGGATTATGGTTCTATTAGACAGGATTAACACCTTTCACTAGCTCGTCAACCCAGCCAAATGTGCCCTGCGGCATGGAGAGGGAGGGACAGGAAGGCAGCCTGGGATTCACAGCAATATTGGGAAAGTATAAAACAGTCTCAGCAATCTCTAAACATACACTGACCTTTCTGCTGCATTCCATCACTTCAATATGTCTAGTAGGAATAAGTGTATATTAAAGTGCAGATGTGCTGCAAGTAGTTTAAAAGGAGCAAGAAGGAAAACATTGTTTAGTGTTGGTCTTACCCATAAAAAGCTTGAGCACAGGGAAATCAGTTTTTCTTTCCTGACCCTTGAAACAACCTTATATCCTACATGTGCAGGAGCCTTGGGCTATTTTGTAGCGTACTTCAGTGTTGCTTCATCCCTATTAAATATTAATAAGGGTTACAGGATGATTTCCACTGTTCTAGATAATGGTCTTGCTTGCGCTGAGTAGGGCTGCTTCAGCAGTTCTCCACACTAACTTTTTCCATTAAGTAATCAATAGGCACCACCTTTTAAAAATATATCCAACCCCATTATACTGATAACGAAAAGCAGATTTAGGAGCTCCTGGCTGCAGAGGGAATGGGACTATTAYTTTCGGTAGTGTCAGTCACTGCATTAGTGTCAGGGAACACCTACTTTGTGAAGATATGGACAGGCCTTATTTCCAGGTGAAGGGAAGCTTTTAAAGTAAATGCAAAGCTACTAAGAGAAAATACCCTATTGACTTTTGATACCGGGATTCAGCATCCTATAAAGTTAAGTGGTTTTTCTGGCTCAATTCATGCAAGAGCTACCCAGGGATATGTTAAGCAAATATGAATTTGCTCAGTAAAATCTAATGGAGGCATGGGCAGAGGGAGAAACAACTGTGTTTTCCCACGCAAGGACTGATCAAATAATTTATATAAATCAACACATTAACTTTCATCTCTTTCCCTTCAGTATTCCAAACTAACATAATAAAAAACATCAAAGATACTTTTATGAATTTGAAAAYCTTCTTCCATCATCTCCTGCATCATTTATTCCCTGAAATCCAGGAACTTTAAACAATCCTTTTAAAGAGATAAGTGCTATGTAATTGTTGTTTATTTTARTTTGGACAGTCTGCAGTTGATTGTCTGGTTTGTCTGTAAATAGCCTATCATTTTCYCTAGAAAATAATATGGTGTTGTATGCAAATAGTAAGACAAAAACAACAGGTTCTGCAATCTACGACTTTCTGTTGTAAAACATCCTTCTCTTGTAGGATATTTCATAGGAGAAGTAAGTTCGTGTCTGTGATAAAATAGTCAGAGCTTCCCTGTGTTTAAAGACAACCTTTGAGCCAAAAATGACAGCAGTTAGCCTGCTAAATAACCATTATGGGTGATATTCATCCCATATTTTTCTTTGGAAAATTCACCCTGCCCAGCAATCTGGTTCCCTGCTCTGAGAAATTCTGGCCTATTATATTTTGCTTCAAGTCCTATTGAAAATGTCTTTTAAGTCCCGCGCGTTGCAATGGCTTTGTACTGACCCTCTCACACAAGTGAATCTCTTCAAATTCCTCCATGCATTTTAATTTTTAGCTATTCRTCCTTAGACTACCCAAACCATGTAAGCTGCATAGGGGCAAACATGGTCACTGGAAGTCATAAAAAGGGAACTCAGCACGTTGCTCAATTTCCTTGCCTGCCCCAGGCACTTGTCTTCTTCCCTCTTTTTTTGAGGGAAGTCACAACAGCCTGAAAGAGAACAGGCTGTTCTTGCTGCTCTGATTGATGGAGATAAGTGGAGATCAGGATTTGATTAATTTCCTCTATTCTCTGATGGTTCTAGCCCCTTCAGAAGGAGGACACCACTCTGAGAATGAAAGAGTTACCAAGTAGGGATGACTATTTCCCCTCTGCTAGCTTATCTTCTTGCATAGATAATCAAAAGAATTGTCTCCTATTTTCCCAGATGGCAAGATAGAAATTTAYAGCTTTTGGGATGTTCTGAGAAAAAAACCCCACAGACCAAACACCACCACTGCACTTCTGTCTAAGGAATGAGAATTTGCGTAAAAGATTAAGCAACTCTCCAAAGAGCAAGGGAAGCAACAAAAGAGAAGACATCATGACCTCTCTGCCACAGGGAATTTTTCCTATTTACGCATTAGTTACACATACAGAAMTTCTGACCACTAACCAACACATTAATATAACTTTATAGCCCACATGAAACACGGCCTAAACCTTGCACTTCACCAGTCAAAAGCAATAAAAAAGATACAGCTTGTTCCTTCTAACTCAAATAGAGCAATCTACTGAAATGGCATTTTTAACTGGCTTAAAAATGACTCCATAAAAGAGTGGTTGTTATCRTGGCCTGGTGTTCAGAAGCTGCAGGGAGGTGGGGACAGCGGGGAGCAAAGTGGACTTTGAACAGAAAGTCCAYTTGCCACCATGAAGCCTCAGATCAAACACCTGAATTTTAACAGTGGGAAACGACTGGAAAAGAAAAGCTGAATTAAAAAATGAGTTAATCATACCTAACACTCCTCCAGGTGAACAAATTGCACTCTCCAAAGTAAACACTGAGCAGCTGTTTTATCAGTGCTTCTATCTGGTACCAGCCTCGGGCTCTCAAGCCTAAATCCCTGCTGACATGAGGTACATAGTTCCCATAACCCCAGTCTGAGTTACCACCAGCAACCCACTCTCCAGTGCTTCCCAGGGTCACCTTGCACTGGRCAGGTGCTGGGG